TAGGTCTCTGGGGCAATCACACCAGGCTTATTTACCCACTCGTCCCAACTTAGCCTGCTGAGTTGCCTCATTCTCTCTCTCCAAATCTTCCCCTAAAAACTACCCCAGTTTTTTTCACCCCTCCCCATCACCATCCCTGCAACACCTCCAGGACACCCCATCTTTCCCATGCCTTGTTCTTCTTTCCAATTGGCTCAGTAGTATGTCTCCTTTTCCACCCAGCCTGTTAGAGAGATCAGGGGTGGGGGTTACAGGGTGAGCTTAAAAGGAGGCAAGAGGCAAATCTCCTAGGGACTTGGGTGGTTGAGGCCAGGTGGATAGGAGCCTCAGGAAGGGGACTGAGGGAAGTAGCTTCAAGCAGGTGAAAAGGGGGGAGGGTTAGAAACCCAGTAAGCTGGGGTCATAAATTAGGGGAAAAGAGAGACTTGTATTTAGCATAGTGGAGAGTTGGCATAGAGTAATTGGCGGTGAAAATGCAAATCTCTACAGAAGATATTCAGGAAACAAATGAGTTTCTAAAGAGGTAGCCATCTGTTGTTTATGAACAGAAGTGTGGCCATGGGGTTGGCAGCTCTTGTAATTTTTCAAGAGAAGTCAGAAATTTAAATTTTATGTGAAAGCTCCCAAGTTTTAAGTATTGGGCCAATTAAAAAAAAACAAACAGCTGCACAATATAGGGCAGGGCAAACCAAACACTGTCCATGAACCATGTTTGGTTGTAGGCCATCCTTTTTTATCCTCCAGTAAGTGATCAAAGTGCTTGTTGAAAAACAAACAAACAAATAAACAAAAACCACTTGGTTGATGCTTGAGAATCAGGAGGCCTTGGTTCCAGTGTCAGTTTTGCTGCTCCTTGTTTTATGACCCTGAACAAATAAATTCACCTCTATGCCTCTCTTTAGCTATAAAATATGGAGGTGGGATCAGATGACCTCAAAGTCCNTGAAGCAACATCCTCCACAACTAGACTGAAGAACAAAAGGACAGCAACTTGTCTGTTCCCCTTCCCCCAATTCCCCAGCACTGTTCCCATCCCCCAAACTCCCCAATAAAAAAATCTTTAAAAAAAAAACTTTTAAATTTTATTTAATATATATTTTATTTTCTAGTTGGATTCTTCTTCAGTCTTAATGTTACTCTTATCCTTTAAGGTAATTCCAAATTATCTCCTTTTACTACCAGAGAGGTGATTTGCAAGCTTTGTTCCAGAGGAGGGTCTGTGGAAAGAGCACGGGCTTCGGAGACAAACCTGCATTAGAATTCTTGATCCTCTTCTTTTCTGTTGAGTTGTGCTCTTGGATACTGCACATAATTTCTTTGAACCTTAGTTTTCCATGTGTAAAATAGGGATAATATCTATTGTATAATGTTGTGAGAATCAGAGCTATCTGTAGCACTTGACACATATTAGGCATTCAATTTAAAAAAGAGCTATTTTTAGACGCCCAAACATTTATTCTTAAGTATTAATAATGGTTTGAATGTGTGTTCCAGAGAGTCTTGCAGATTCCCATAAGAAGAAAGGATGAAGTTGACATGATGATATTGAGTCCATTGCTACCACTTTGGCCAGAGCTGCCTCCCAGTTCAAGGATGTCTTAGATACCAGGAGCAAAGACAAACTGTGACTGGCACCTCTGGGAACTCAGATTTCCAGTGCCTATACCATCTTTTGGATTAGTGAGGAGAAGATAGGGCTTACCTCAGGAGAAGAATAATTTTCAGGGCTGAATAATTTTCCTCCCTTCTGTGCTATTTTCAGCTCATACAGCATAGTCCATTCACTAGCTATTATAGAATAATAACAACTAACAATTATAGAGCACTTACAATGTGTTAGGCCTTGTTCTAAGCATTTTATGTGTATTATTCCTTTAAGCCACATAAAAATCTATAGGATAATGACTTTCAGTATCATCATCGTGCAGATGTGAAAATGATGGCTTTGACCTTTTACCAAAGGTCATACAGCTCATGAATGATGGGGAGCTTAGACTATTTACCATTATCACCTACCCTACCACCTTTAGAAATCTTTCAACCTCTGCTTTTGAATCTAGGTTATTTGTGGTGCGATATTCACCTTGCACATAGTTGGTGGAGAAGCAGCAGATGTTTTGGGTCTCCAGAGGGTTCTCATGGGTGAAATCAGGGGAGCAGGTTTGGGGCTCTGACTCTCCTGTCAAGCATCAGTTGTCCGCCTGGGATGGGAGGGGGGATGGGTCGTAAAGTGAGCAGGGGGGGAAAAAGAGATTCATGGTAAAGATGACACATCTTTATCTGCCACCAACATCAGAGAGAAACATGAATTTACAGACCAGCACCTTATTGTCTCTAATTTCAAATTTGCACTTGTAACTTCTCAAGGTTCTGAATAAAATCATATTTTCTTTCACTGAGCCAAGGTCACCACAGTGCCCTAAAGGCCACGCTTGTTCCCTAAGGGCCAGGCTCCCTCCCCTAGCTTTCCACACCCCCTCAGCTTACATCCTTGTGCAGAGATGAGCCGGGTGTCAGCAGGGATTTGGTCTCCACCCTTCACTGTTACTCGGTCTCCCACTACCACATTTTGTATATTGATCTGCATTTTCTCTCCTCTGCGAACTACCAGAGCTTGCTGTGGGAAGATAGTAAAGGGTCATTTCCAAAGCTTTCTGTTCCCCCATCTTGCTTCTATCATATAACCTTCTGTTCCTGGTTTCCTTCCTTTTGACTCCTCTTTCTTACACTGTCACTCACCACATCATTCTTTATTATTATTATTATTAATCATTTGTATTGGGGTAATATTGGTTAATAACATTATATACTTTTCAGGTGTACAAGATTATAATTCTTGAAAGGCTCTTTGGTAGATTGCAAATTCTTACCATTGCTGTCTGCAGGGCCCTTTGCAATGTGACTTTGATGCTTCTCCCACTAAGATGGTGTCTACCTCTCCATCCTTACACTTAGGCTTGGCTATAGCTTGCATTGGCCCGTAGGACATTAGCAATTGTAATGCAAGCAGAGGCTTTAAAAGTGCTTGCACATTGGGGCTTGCCCTGTTGTCGCTGGGAACCCTTCTGTCACCATGTTGAACAAGCCCAAGCTAGTCTCCTGGAGGAAGAGAGATCATGAGGAGAAAAGTCCCAGTTGTCCCAGTAATCCCAGCTGAAGCCCAAGACATGTGAATGAGGCCGTCTTAGACCATATAGCCTCAGCTAAGTTCAGCTCAGATCAGAAGAACAGCACAGCCATAGAGTTTTGAGAAAGAATATGTTCATTGTTTTGAGCCACTAAGTTTTGGGGTGGTTTGTGAGGCAGCAAAAGCTAACTGGTAGTCTCCAGACTCCTAGTTCATGCTACCTGAACTCTTACCTGAGGAAGGAATTAAGTTATGTTCACACCAAAGGGAGATGATGATACTGGGCCACAGTGCTAGATCATAATCGTGGTATTGGAAATTTTGGGACCTGTTTCTTTTCAAGTTTCCAGCCCTGTGCCTAGGAACCTCTTTCTACTGTCATATTATTTCCAGGTAGTTAAAAAAAAAACCCAAAATCTTTTTATCTGAAAATAATCTCAACTTGTAGAAAAGTTGCAAGAATAAAAATTGTACCAAGAACACAAGTATAATCTTTACCAAGATTCATCTATTAACATTTTATCCCATTTGCTTTGTCATTTGTTCTTTGTCTTTACAGGTGTGTGTATGTGAATACATTTTTTTTCCTGAACCATTTGAGGTTAAGTTACACATGTCATAATCTTTTTTTTTTTTTACTGTAGATCTTTTTTTTAAAAATTTATTTATTTATTTATTTATTTTTTAATTAGTTTCAGGTGTACAACACAGTGCAATAGTTATATTTTTTACCCCTCAAAGGAATATGAAAGACAGTTCAGGGAATATAATTAGTAATGTTGTAAATATTTTGTAGGGTGTCAGATGGTCACATGTCTTGTCATGATCTTTTATTCTACATACTTCAGTGTGCATTTCCCAAGAGTTAAGATATTAAATAACCATAATACAGTTATCAATTTTAGTAAATTTCACACTGACACAATATTTTAATCTACTTTCTGTATTCCAGTTTTGTCAATTGACCCAATATATCTTTTACAGCATTTTTTTTTCCTCCAACACAGGAGTCAGTCTAGGGTCAGGTATGTCATTTAGTTGTCATATCTGTTTACCCTCCTTTAATCTGGAACATTTCCACAGCTGTACTTTGTCTTTAAGGTCATTAACATTTGAAGAATCCAGCCTCCCCAACTTCCTTTCCCTTTTTTGAAAAAATACAGTGTTCTCATTTGAGGTTTCATATTATGCTCATTAGATTCAAATTATGCATTCTACAGCAGACCACTTCATAGGTGATGCTGTGTCTTTCTCAGCGTACTTTTAAGGTCAGATACAGTAAAACCTAAGCGAACCTCTTATAACCAGCTTCACTCAGCTCGCTCATTGTATGATACTCAGGGAACTTAATAATTATGTATTTGGCCACATTCTATACCTCCTCTCACTAGATCCTTCCCCACCAATCCTACCTGAGGCACCATGTTCTTAAAAGACTCCATGATCCTGGAACTCTTGGTCTCCTGATAATATGAGAAGCAGCCAGTGATGGTGACCACAACAGCTAGTGCAATGCCCAGGTACAGCTGAAGGTAGGGAAAGAAAAGGCTTATCAGTAGGTCCTTTTCTTCCTCTTCATCCTCAGAAAATTGTGAGGGAAATCGCCATTTCTCCAGTTGCAAGAAACCATAGGACTCAGTTGGAGAGTACAGGGGCCGAGAAGAGGCTGAGATAGGTCTCTGGCTTATTCAGCTTCCTGGTGAAGGAACTCTGAACTATGGTAAGAAGCCAGTAAAATTTAAGGCCCATGAAGGCCTATATCCTCCTCTCCTGGAAGGCTATTCATGAGGTGGGGGATGGGTAGTGAGAGAGATGGGGTGAAAGGAGATGAAGAGATTAAAATTCTGGGAAAAAGAAAGGGACCCCAAAGTGCTATGATGATCAGTTGGGAAGATAAAGGAGAGCAAGTTTCTGTGGTAAACATGCATGTCAGGGAATTGAATCAGTAGCTTTCCAAAGAAAAGACTAGGGAAACCAAGAAGGACCAAGGACTCCCTTAGAAAATCTTGGAAGTACTAGGTATTTGGGCCAGAGGGCTTCAGGAGTGCTAGGCTGAGCAGGAGAGTGTCAGGGTTAAGCAGAGACTGGGCTAGGCAGCAGTAGTTGAGCAGACTCACATTGTCTTTGGTAGAGTTCTCATTGAAATACATCTGGATGCCATAGGTCACAAAGCAGAGAATGGCACCAGTCCCCAGGAAGATAGAGAAGCCACTGAATAGTTGTTTACAGAATTTGACCCATTCTGGAATGGTGGGAGGTGGGGGTAATCGTATTGGGTCCATCTCTAGTCAGGATTTCCTGTGCCTCTTCGGGGCTAAGGCCCTGTGTGGAGAAGAAATAAGGATGGGTAGAAAATCATGAAAAAGAAACAGCTATAGCAAAGAGGAATCCTGCTTCAAAACTGAGATCTGCCATCATAGCCCCAAGATGAGTCTAGAGACCAATGAAGTTCTCTGAAGGTCAGACTGGAAGTTCTTCCTAGATAAGTGGGATTTTAAAATTTGCGTTATAGAAGGGATATCACTTAGCATGCTAACATAGGATGGATTTTTTAGTTTATGGGCTGATTTACAAACCTTTTAAAATACCCATCTTGGGCCTTGGTACTCTGGTAGGATACCAAAATGAGTAAGAATGGTCCCTACTCTTACGGAGCTCCAACTCTAGTGGGGACAATTTATAATATAGAAATAATGTGCAAGGCTAATGTAATTATTGGATACAATACAGAATGTTGATAACTTATGGACTATTTACTCTTCGACTCTCTAGATTAGAAACAGGGTGGAAGAAACCCAGCTAAATACATGAATACATAGATTTTCACTTTAGGCTTGTGTACTTTTTTCTCTGAACGAAAATAATAGTGGAACCTACTAGAGGACTGTAAAAGAAACTCTCCTTAATCCCCATCAGCCACTCCCCAACCTCACTCTGAAAAACATACAACTTTAATAAAAATAAGACAAACCTCCTGTGCTCCTCCCTGGTTACCAGGTGAAGCCCCTTCAATGACGAAATTCTAGAGCTAAGAGGAGCTTACACTTTGAAGGCTTGTATTTAAGGTTTTAATTTGTGGTCATTGTATTAGTGGTTACAGTAGCAGCAGTAGTATTAGTAATTGTAGTAATATGTGACTTCACCATTAACTCATTGGTTCTCAGTGTGGTCTAGCAAACCATGGGGTCCCAAGACCCTTTCAGGGGGTCCACAAGTTCATACAATTTTCATAATAATACTAAATCATTGTTTGCTTTTTTCACTCTTATTCTCTTGAGTGTATGGTGAAAATTTCCAAAGGCTACATGATACATGCTATTGCAACAGATTTAATACCAGAAATATATGAGAATCCAGCTGTCTTCTATTTAAAATTTAGACATTAAAGAGGTTTGCAAAAATGTCAAATGCCACTAAATTTTTTATTTTGAAAAACAAGTTATTTGTCATAAAAATTATTATTTATACTAATATATGATGCGCTTACTCTTCTTTCAAGATGAATTAGAAAATATTTTTTAATTTCTCAATTTTAATTTCTAATATTGTAATTATAGATGATGTAACCATCATAAATGAAACTCTTTGGATTCCTTGATAGTTAATCATTGTAAAGGACTCCTAGGGACAAAGGTGTGAGAAGCACTGTCCTAAACTATTCTTATTCTCTTTTTTAATTCTGAGCTTTCTTTGGGATAGTTCTCATCTTCATCTTTTTTGAGTGTACAGCCAGTGACACTTGACTGGGCAGAGGTTAGGGGTAAGAGCATTGGTTAGAGGCTTTTGTCCTGGTAACCTCAAAGTTAGGATGGGGACTCTCTCTCTGCCTCCCTCAGGGAGTTCCTTCACTCACC